GTGAGACAACCAGAGTGTGAATACATGAAGATTAACATACATGAACATAAATATTATACTGTAAGCCTGTAAAATAAACATGAAATAAAACAACATAATATAGTTTGCTTCATGTTCGCAGAACCTTATCCCTGAATGCATTTTCCCACTACAAATTCATGCTGAAAGGTTTAGCATACAGCAATGAATCACATAATTTATTAACTTCATTAGAATATAATGTCTGTGTCTGAATTTAGAAAACCTTAAATTAAAAAAGAACAACAGTTTTCAGGATCGTATACAAGCATAGACTTGGACTGCAAAAGCCTGTGTATGAACACCAATTGTGTTAAACATATTTAAAACTTAAAACACTGGCAGAATGATACAGCTGCTGTTGTTATTAGGTAATTAAACTACATGCTTCCTATCAGTAGCACAAGTCAAGCAACATGATTTCATCTATTTTCAAAGCAGCACTGCTACTCAAAGGTTCCACATACAAGTTTAGATATTTCTTGATTTGTCACCTGACCACATTTATCACGTTCAAAGAAGCAACGCTGTAGAAAAACTGAAAAAGACAACAATGCTGAAACAAAACAAAGTGATAAGAGAATATCTTGAGCCCTTTGACCCATAGCCCCTCAGCAGATCTGATTAGTTTACTTCTTTGTGTGCAATAATGTAGGTGTTGATAAGCCAGGCTCCCACGTTGGTCCGGGGAAGAACTTCACCTATGTCTGGCGGGTGCTGGAAGGTCCATCTTCATCTGATACTCCATGTATCCCCTACCTGTATTACTCTGCCACTGATCCTGCCATGGACACCAACTCTGGATTAGTGGGACCTCTGCTCGTGTGCAAGAAAGGAGCGCTGGGGGTGAACAAAACCCAGGTGCTGCTTTATTATCTATTCACACGCACACTGTCACACAAAAAAATGCAGGAAATTCTCACATGTTAAAAGCTTTAACCACTAAATGTTTGTTAAACAGCTTTAGTAAATTATTGTCTTTAATACATTTTGTTACATTCGATTAATCAATTAATTAATGAACAAAATGCACTGGGCTTAAAAAAGCAGTCAAATGTCAATACATTTGTATGTTCAAATGTGCATGTAAGAGTCTTAAGACAATGTAATACATTTCTTTGTTTTTATGCTGTTAACTACAATTTACTAAACTACACTGTAGTCATTACTGTGTGTGCTTTGTTTAACAGAATGGTATCGATAAGGAGTTTTTCCTTCTGTTTTCTGTCATGGATGAAAACGTGAGCTGGTATTTGGATGAAAATATCGAGAAATTTGGGAGCGAAGACATAAATCCAGATGACGATGACTTCAAGGAGACCAACATGATGCATGGTAATCAGTGTGTTTGGCAAGGAGTGTGCAGTTGTACGTCAATATCTGTAATTAATTTAAAAAACCACCATTTCAACCAGCATTTCTTCGGTATCTTTGGTTTTCTTTTGTTTTCTTACTTGTCTTGTGTTTTCCTGTTTAAATCTCCTCTTGTATTTCAGCTGTGAATGGATTAATGTACGGGAACCTTCCCGGACTGGAGATGTGTGCTGCGGACAAAGTTATGTGGTACACCTTTGGGCTAGGTACAGAAGTAGACATCCATGGTGTTTATTTTGAGGGGAACACCTTCAAGAAGCAGAGCACAACACGAGACACTCTCAACCTGTTCCCTCACACCACGGCTTCTGTTGCCATGCAGCCCGGCACTCCTGGTTAGTCACGATGCACGCACACACACACACACACACACACACATATACACACAACACACAATAAAAAAAAGTTGAGTGTGTATTCCTTAAAGTCCAAAGATCAACAAAGGAAAAGGGTTCAGCCAGACTGAATGTTAAAGTAATCTTTAAAAATCCCCCCAACAGACATGTTACCCTGCACATACATCATTCTGCATAGTGAAGCTCAAACATCCGAGTGAAGTGACAATAAGCAGAACACAGTTTTGAGTGGCGGGGGGCTTTAAAATTGCTCAGATAGCACAAAACACAAGAGAGGCTTCACCAACTATGCAGAGTCAGCGCATAAGTACTGGTAGTAGATGCTTTTCCAGATTCTGCATTCAAAGTCAGAGGTAATGAGAGCGAGGCATAGGACATACAAACCTCCCAGGCAAACCATTAAACTGTGTACAGAGAGCTACAGCACAAATCAAGGGGTTTTTTTTTTCAATTACTGTGTGTTTCGGCTGCAAATGTCTGCACCTGGGGTGAAGCCAAAAACACATCCTTGCATGTGTCCAAATTCTTGACCTCTTTTCATTCACTTCACAGGACTGTATGAGGTGAGCTGCAGAGTAACAGACCACTACTCAGCAGGCATGAGGCAGCAGTACAGAGTGAACCTCTGCCAACATCACAAAATGAAGCACACACGCACTGAGCCAACCAAGATTGTGCAGTATTTTATTAGTGCTGAAGAAATAGAGTGGGACTACTCACCGGAGAGAAACTGGGAGCTGGAGAAACACCACCCTACATCAGAGGAAAGGTGTGTGAGTAAAATGATTGCAGTATGATGTATTTCAGCGTCACCTGGAGCTTGTGATTAGTGGCGTAACTTATTACTGTTTGTTAATGGAAGTAAATTGGTACATGTCTCCCAGACCAGGCAATATGTTTGTGGAGAAAGGGAAAAACAGAATTGGCTCACGCTATAAGAAGGTGGTGTATAGAGAATACACAGATGACACCTTCAAAGTTCAGAAGAAAAGGCAGCCAAACGAACAGCACTTGGGGATTATTGGTAAGCTTAGCTGTTTTTTCTGCCGTTTTTACCAAGAAAAGACTGAAGGAGACGCTGAGTTTCTTTTGCCCTGTAGGTCCCCTAATCAAAGCAGAGGTAGGAGAGCAGATTGTGATCACATTCAAGAACAAAGCTACTGCCCAACCATACTCGATTACCGCACATGGAGTTAAGGCCAGCGGTGCACACGTTCCTGTCCAACCTGGTAAGACTCAAATGTATTTATTTGAATAAATAAAATGCATGCTGTTGCTGGTGTATTCTAACAAAAGGATCAAGCTACAAACGACTAAAGCGGTGGGATTGATATTTGTTTGCTTTAAATTCTCTTGCCTTCAGGCAAAATAATCGAGTTGACGTGGGATGTTCCTGAAAGCTCTGGTCCAGGGGTCTCAGATCCTAACTGCATCACTTACGCCTACTACTCCAGTGTTCATTTCATTAGGGTACATATTCCCTGTATACAGTAACAGTCACATGGAAGTGCATGATTCATAGTGTTGACATTGTGACAGAGTAGGTTCATTTGTTTATGTTCAGGATCTGTACAGTGGTCTCCTGGGGCCTCTGGTGATATGCAGGCCCGGTACTCTGGGGCCTCTGCAGCCTGGTGAGGGGCCTCACAGACAGAGGAGGGACGTGGAGAATGAGTTTGCTCTTCTCTTTATGGTGCATGATGAAAACCGATCTTGGTACTTGAATGACAACATCAGAAAATACCTTGGTGTCGACCCTGAACACTTCATGGCAGACGAAGACTTTGAGGAGAGTAACAAGATGCATGGTAAGAGATAAGAAGAGAAGCACGCAGAGAAAAACTGTCCAGATTTTTGGATCCTTGTGAGAAAACTGATCTCATCCCAGCAGGAAAAGCTTCGGGGTGGATTTACAAAATGTGGACAAACCCAGAATATGGTGTAGAATTTCCAATAGAACTTTATTGATTCTTATACTTTTATTTTATTGTCCACAAGGGGGAGTTTATCTTGCAGCCAGGTAGAGTGCACACAGACTCAGACATAAAGATATATAAAACATAATAAAATACAGAATATATGTAAAACAATTTGGTGAGCTCACATAAAACAATGTGCATCAGCGCAACAATATCATCTAAATATGGAAAACCAGGCTCAGAACTTAAAATCCTACAACACTTCATTACCCGATTTGCCTCTTTTATGTTGCCTTAAGAGGAAGTCTAAAGTGTGATTTTCCTGTTACACTTATACGCTATTGTGTGATAATCTTTATGTGTGAATGTGTCTATTGAAGGGATCAATGGTAAACTGTACGGTAACCTCCATGGACTGGTGATGACGCAGGGCCAGAAAGTTGACTGGTATCTACTGGGAATGGGCAATGAAGTGGACATGCACACTGTTCACTTCCATGCTGAGACTTTTACCTACAAGGTAACCTTCACCACTGCAACTCAAGTTCATTTTTTTACAGTTATTTTTATTCATTAAATCATTTATTTGTATCATTAAAACAATATCAGGCAAATGATTTATATACAAAGAATACAAGTCAATACAGAAAAATCCACATCCTTCCATATTCACACAATGTAGAACTGAAAAATTCTAATTTTGGGCGTTATGAACCTCTCCATTCTTACATAGGAAGTTTCTTTACTTGATGCTTATTTCCTTTTCTTGGTTCCCCTTTTTTGTGCTGTATGTGTTGTGCGTGTGTGTTTGTGTGTGTCAGACTGACCGCGTGCACCGTGCAGATGTCTTTGACCTCTTCCCCGGGACTTTCCAGACGGTGGAAATGGTGGCAGGGAACCCAGGGACTTGGTTGCTCCACTGTCATGTGACTGACCATATCTATGCTGGCATGGAGACCACTTTCACCATCAAAGGCGTGTCAAAAGGTATGTATGCGTGCATTTGCGTTTACTTATTCAGTACGTTCATGGGTATGAACATCTACAGTAGAGAATTTGTCTAACATCTCAATTTTATCGTTTTTTTAATTTCAGAAAACTCCTCAACTGGTAAGATCTGTTGTTTGTTGCACAAATTATTAGAATACTTATATACACTTTATCAGTACATGACCTGGGTCAAAAAATATTACAGTATTTCAGTACTGTGTAGATATTTTAAATAATTTTGAAACAATGCATTACATAGAACTGTATACATAGTGGTTTTAGTTATTGATATTATAGTATAATGATTATATGAAACACATGACTTTATCGTCCTGTCTTACACTACAGTAAAGGACCATACTGTGCATATGCAAGTTTCATTCCATTTCTTAAAATCATGTATATTTAATATCTGCATTAGCAGACTGAAATTTAACATCATCAATAGACACTGAAACTTGCTCATATTGTGGAGGTCATCACGCCTGAGTTATTGTTGGTTAGTGTTAGATTGTTGTTGTGTCTTAATTAAGTTTAAGCTCAACTCAGGCAATCAAAAATTATTATAGACTTGTATATGTGATGTATTACTAGCACTAACGCTACTAGCACTGTGAAGATTATAAGAGATTATTGGTATACAACTCGAGCATGTTTCAAAAGTGTGCTATGTTTTCATATTATATGGAAATGAAAAGAAACCAATGGATTCCTGGAACTGTAGACAAAATACAGTACAGTAAACGTAAATGTATCATACACCGCAGGATAGTTTGTGAAAGTCTTAGCTGTGACGTAAAACACGAGTGATCTGTAGTACAAATGCTGAAACATGCATAAACACTTGACCGGTCCTTTAAAACTAATAATAGTTTAATTTGGTCTGGTCACTGTCATAGCATACCATACATTTCTCTTCTCTAGTTCAACACAGGTCAAATTTGGACAGCAGGTATTTGACTGTGTGTGCTGTTACGTAATGGATGTGGAATGTTTTGTTAAATGTTATCTATCTTTGCTGAGTTAGTATTGAGTATAGGTTTAGACATGTATCATTTGGGTCAGGCATTCCTTAAGAGCACTTGAAAGATATAGTGCAACAGATAAACTCTTCCCTAATTAGACAAACAACCATTTCTTTGTGGGAAATTTTTAAATGATGTCCTTCAAGGCCAGTGAAGGTGAGGATCTGAGACTTTTGGGTTATCTTAAATGCTCCATGAGTGTCAGGGAAACTACTTTGAACTTTGCTACAAATTATTTCACACTGTACTTCAGCAAAACTAAGTTAAATCTAGTTTAATAAACTAAAGCTTTAAAGGTTTACATATTCGGTACGTTCATGGGTATGAACATCCACAGAAGAGAATTTGTCTAACATCCCACTTTTATCTTTTTTTTATTATTTCAGCTTTACCAGAAAGCTCCTCAAATGGTAAGATCTGTTTCGTTTTTTTACCAAATGATGCACAAATTATTAGAACACTTCACAGTACATGACCTGGGTCCAAAAGTAT